TATCTCTTTCCCTCTCATTTCAAGGTGCGAATCTCTACATAGGTCTATCAGCGGGATAAAAATACAAAACTACGCTGCTGCTGTACAACTCGCTTGGAAGGATTGAAGAACATCAAATTAAGTCTTTCACGTGTTTGACTGGTTTTGTTGGCTTAGCAGCCACCACGACTTTTCCTTCCCATTTGATACAGGTGCAAACCAAGTGACTGAAAGATCTTGATATGTTAATCTCCAATTCTTCATTACCAAGAATTGTTTTCCTGAACGTGATGGAATGCTACTTGGTGATTCATAGCCAAAATAAAATAGTTCAAAGCCTACTTGAATGGGGTTTTGGAATACCACAGGGCTCATTTTCTCCAAGTACCACGCCAAATTCCATCCACGAGACTCATTCGATATTGCTCAACCTGGAAGTTCAAAAGGAGAGAGAGTATTCAGGTTCACAATCAAGAGCACTAGCCAGGTTAGCTGACCTTAACCCAGGCTTTATAATCCATTCAGGCCGTTGATCGCATGCCTATGACAAGTTCCTACATGCTACAACCGTAGAAATTTGTTTAGGCAGTAGCGGTGAGGCGGGTAGAGAAACCAGGTTTTTCCAAATTTAATATACAACCGTTTACCTAGGAACTAACAAAGTAGACGAGGGCCTTACGATAACGGAATTTCAACTTATTCCATTGATGTCTTAAAAATGGAATGTGTACGATTGCCTGGTCTTCATTTGAAGGCTGTTGTTTTGAAAGGTATCAAATACACAAAACATTCTCGATTCCGCAACAGATTTAAAATTAGCATCGAGGTATGAAATTTGGGCAGAGCCAAGTGGACAAACAGTGTCCGTATCTTCGGACAATTTGGATACGCCTTCATACTGTGGCAACGGCACCTTGGATCTGTGACTGGATTGTTCTTTGGTACTCCCGTTCTCAGGACTTCAATGCCGACTGCTGAAAATAAGATTTATTCATCCCCTTCATGGGGAAGATTATAATACGAGGTGCGTCCAAGTCAAATAGGGGCTTACAAGCACATTCTCTTCAAAAAGGATCCTACTACGGCTCCACTAAGTGGATTAACAAGTGACAAGTGTGGCCTATTAATGACTTCCAGTTCACTCGTCGGGGCAGTCTGGGTCTAGACACTCTCAATCAAGAGCCCAGGCAGCGCCAATACCTCGTGTGTGTACAAAATGATGTACAAAGTGGCTTCTGGACCCACCCCACACCTTGAATTCAAATGGAGGGCATTTTGCTCCTACATCTTCTCTAGAACCACTTCAAGCACAGCACAGTAGGGTGATGGCACATTCCACTGTCCAGCAGAGACATTTGAATGATTGGTGGAGTGGTTGGATGGTTGAATGATGTCACCGTTTCGTGAATGAGTGACCGACGGCATGACTGTGCTGTGCGTCAGTACAGATTTGACGGTACGTGGCGTGGTGGTAGTGATAGATTTGATGCAGGCGATTCTTATTTTAGGTCATCAGCCACGGCAGTCATCTAGCAGCGAGAACATTCAGGCATCACGTGGAAAGCTTGCTTTACTCTGGACACCAAATCGTGGCAATAACTTATCTGTTGTGCAAGAAACCAGCAGAAGAAGGGAATGTTTTGTTACTACAGTGAGCATGACGGATCTTAGCACACACCAGGTGAAATGAACAAGTTTAGGATGGCTCGCTTGTGCCAACAGATCTGCCTATCCCGAACACCCGAGAAAGTAAATACAGGTTGTGCTCTTTGAAATTGGATTTAATCTATTAAAAAGGCGGCGAGGGAGGGAAGGGCGACTCAAAACTTCTTGGCTTGTTTGGCACGCTCCAATTGGAAAAATCATCAAAAATTCTAACATTGGTTGAACTTTAGAATTTACAGCCACGGTCACCAAGTTTCGCTCATGATATTTGTCTAAAATAAAACCGTCATAGGTCAAAAAGGTCGTTTTTTAGCCTTTTCACAGCGCCCACTTACCATCTCCACTCGCATCTAGTTTTTAAGGCTTATAACTTTTTAGCTAACAAAATCCATTTCGATTACTTAAAAGAGGGGGGAACTAATAACTTGTCCAAATTTACTACTTAAATGCATTAGACGATTATAAGTAGCAGGTTTGTACACAATAAACAAAAATAATAACCTTAACTCATTTATCGATTAATAAGTGGTACTCACCGAGGGAGCAGGGGTGAGGTGCGGAGTCTTGAGCGGAAATCAACGCTAGTGGTGAGTGGACTTCATCTTTTGAGGGAGGTGGAGTTTCGTTGTTGCCTCGGAGGTGGATGGATCCACGGTTGGAAATTGGAATTCCCTGAGGAGCAAATACCTTACGTCAATCAAACTATGAAGGCAAAGGCTTGAATCAATGTTGCGTACAAACAGATTGATGACGTGGATGATGTTAAACGGTGGTATGAACATAGTGCCTACCACTTGAGATTCCTTCCGCCTAGTAGGTGGAGCTTGGGTACCCAGACAAATCTCCCTTTATTTCTTACTGAATAGGATCATACAAAGAGTCAGGAAACTGTCTCACAGAAACCCTTACTTTTGATAGATTTGGCCATAAGTAATCTTTTCTCTCTCTTCATGCGACAGATCTGAGCGTGAACGTGGAGGTGACTTACCTAGATACAGTAGAAAGGTCATTGGTTTTTCTCAGCTGTTCTTGAATCTTTTTTCTCCAACTGAGTAGTTACCTTTACAGCCAACTTTTGTGCATCTAAATATTACCCTTTAATGAGTAGTTAGTACTCTCGGCCACCCTCTTGTGGCATCCGAGAGCCGAGTCCAAATTATGCTTCCAACAGACCAACAGTTCTCGAGCAGTAGAATGAATAAAAGATGTTAAAATCCCAAGAATTCCCCTTCTTTTGTTGGGAAATCAAAAAAAAATAAACACACTTCGAATGAAAACAAACTTTACTTGATTTATTCTACTAATGACAGTACAAAGGGTAGTAGGATAGTTTCCATTTCTTTTCAGCCTCATGTAACTTTTCCTCAGGAAAATACTCCTGAGTGGTTAACAAAGGAAAAGTTAAATAGCTTGAGATCATTAATATATTCAAGCACGATGTTCTGTCGTAGATTTTTGTTGACATTAAAGCGGATTGTGAGGTTTAGTCCCTTCTGAGACTTGCTGCAAAAGGGTAAGTAGGCTGCTCTGGGAAATGAGGAGGTCGATGAGCATAAGGCGGACGGATACAGCCCCAATTTCTTCGCCATGGAGATGATGAGCTCCTGCCTACTTTTGAACCCTGCAATACCTTATCAACATTGAGAACTTTCTGTAAACCATGTCCGTCTGTGATTACGAACCAGATTTCTTCATTGGATACACTGGAAGGTTCTAAGGCACGCTTCCAGGAGGCATAACCGGACCATAACACCAGCGGATTCGACATCGATGGCCAACTTTCCTGTGATCTTTCCTAAACCACTCCCGTGTTCTTTTTCCAATGGCTGTAGGCGTAAGCTTGAAGCGCCCTGCATCCATTCTCAGAAGGATAACTTCTGCGTCGACATTGACGAAAATGCATTTGCTTGGCTTGATGGCTAATGGAGCTTTGTAGGTCGGTTTAGCCCTCAGGGATCTGACTAGCTACCCCTTTGGTAGCATCCGAGCTCACAGTTGCGCAGCCTTTTCGTACATCAATGCCAAAATTACTTCCACATTAATGCCCTTTCCCCTACTCAATTTACTTACTAAATTTATGCCTCCCTTTGATTCCAAGCTAAAAAAATTTGCATTAAGCTGCAAGGACAGCCGACTCTTTCAGAGGCAGGAGTCACGTAACAAGCTCATGCGCTACCAGATACGACTCCCTTTCTCATGCCCAACCGAATCGTGAGGGAATTGGAGTTCCAGCTTCGAAATGTTACATTTAGAGAGGGTTTAAAAAGGGCTATAATCAAGGAAAATAAGAACATATGTAATGCTTTGATGCCACAGTCATAAGTATACACACACACACATTTGTGTGTAAATTAAGTGGTTACGAGTTCTCTGCATCCCGTTGCAATTCATATGAGCCTGAACGACGTTTGGAATGCCTTCTGACGACACGTTTGACCGCTTCATATGCGAGTTGGGTCTGAGATCGGATACGCATCATCATGCCCGCCTTTCCACCTTCAGAAGACGTTTTTGTAGATGCCGTTGTTGAGGTGGACACATTATTCGATCCCACAGAGTCTAGACTGTCTCGAGACTTGATTTTTTTACTGGGACGAACTGGCATACTGCGCCTTAAAGGGAAAGGAAGAAACAACATCAGGTTGAGACGCCATTTCATGCTACTGAATGCGATCAACATTCTTTCATGAATACGCATGGTTTGTTTGGAGCGCCGGCTATTCACGCTGCAACTGCTTCTAGCCTGGTGCGGTTTCAACATGCTAAACTCTATCCACACTTTAACCTCGTTGGAATAAGGTTGGCTGAAAATTCTTCAACATTTCCAGAATTGTTTAAACTTTGCCTTAAACCGCGATGGTTTTAAGAGGGGTTAAGTCAAGGACGGACAACTGCTGTTGTATTCATTCAGCCCCACTTCACACCTCTTCATCTCAAGCATTTCAAAATATAAAAGTATTCTACTTAAAAAGAATATATCAAAAACTGTACAAATGCGTTGACTATTAGAATCTCAAGGGAAAGTCGGTCGTCCCTCACCAGCTGAACAGCTTCTGCAAACTGTAATTATCCCCCGGTCAAGAAGGTTCTGCAGTCACCTCACTGGTTTGAACTCAACTAAGGCTAATGCAACACATTTTTATGTAGCCATTTATCATTTACTGATGGAGACCACCTGTCACGTATTTGTGACATCGGATACAAGTGGGAAAATCAGGATGTTAAATATAGATGCCGCTGGTGGAAAACGCGCTAACACAACGATACTTAACAGCAAGCGCATTATAGCTGTTTCTTAAATGAACAAAGCAACCACCTACGTGAGTAATACAAGAACTCACCGTTTTCGAGTACGGCCGTTATCGGCTTCGAGAGCGCATTGATCCATAAAACTATCTGCAAAGATGCAAAAGGGTGTGGATTAAAAAGCATCCAACCGTAGATTGTTAACATCCGCTTATTAAACTAGCGAGATGGCTAAAAGGAAGGGCGCTTCCTGCCATTTTTTCTTTATTCCAATGTTTTATACAAAAGGAAAATGCTTTGTGAAACAACCAGCTTATCTCTACTTACTGTCAGTGGATCGTTGTAAAGAGTCCGTCTCACCAGAGCTGTGGCGTCGGACCTTCGGATTGGTGTAAATCCGCAGACATCTTCCTGTGGAATAGGGTTGGAGAGGAGGCACAAAATCTGTCCTCAATGCATCTTGCTGACCTCGTGTCGAGAAGGCTAAATCCTGTTGTCTGGGCATAAAATATTAGATTTGAGACATCTTATGGCACTAAGACGTTTTTTTTTTTTCATCTCCTACCCCTACCGTAGGGCGTTAGGGTCGCCCATGGCCTCTTCTCCCCAGGCATAGTGAAATTATCTACCTTATATCGGTTATTACCCCCCTAATGACTATTTTGTTCATCAAAGTGGTGTTTATAATCGTAGAGCACACTAAAAATAGCAAACTTTCTATATACCAATGTAAAAATAATGATATAACCATTCCCATGGAATCCACGATCATGGCAGATCCGGAAAGATTAATCCACTACTTTATTCGTGAGTTTTTTAGGGCGGGGAGAGACATTGCGAGGCCTACCATTGATACCTTTGATCACAGTAACACGTTCACCACCAGCATCATAAATGTGTGACACGTGTTTCCTTATCAGTTTATGAAAATCTGAGGTGCTAAAATGTGTTGCAGTCGAATTAGCTACGTCTTGAACACTAAAACAGGCCTTGACTGAGGCTACTGACATATTTTTGGGTTCGTAACAAATTAACTCCCAGTAGAACAAATCCCTTGTGAGCTACAGCAGTCAATTTTTCTTTTTTGGAAGTTGGGGTAGGAAAAATTATAGTTGTGGTAGAGCGCGAAGGACAAGGCATGTAACACTATCTTTTTCGACCCTGACAGGTAAACTGTAGATTGTTTGTTAACACCTTGTGCAATTGTGACGGTAAGAATGGCAAAATAATCACTGAAGAAATTACCTCTGACCAGGCGTTAAATACGGCAAAGTGTTCTGTTGGTATGCCTTCAAAGGTTGCCTTTTGGTTTGGATCAGCAGCGTTGAGGAGCGTCGCAGCTCCGAATCATTTTCATCCCGTAGCAGGTTCTTGCTAAACTGCTTTCGCTTTAACCGAAAATGCGCCATATCAATTATTCTGATGGGTCTCAGACCTGGTCTAGAGCGACATGTTAACAGGGGAGGTTCATTCAGTCTCAAGGGACTTTCGCAATTCCTTGATAGCGGATTGACTGAGGGACTGGCTGATTTTGCTCGTAAAACCGCAGAGACCCCCAATTTTGGATAGCGGGTGGGGTAGGGGGTTCGATGATGACCGCACGGATTGACATCAGTGGTATTATCGGCGATCATTTCTGCAAACAAAATAATTACGGGTTATAAAAAAATGTGATCCTGAAACTGTAAAGAGACTTTACAGTAAGCGAAATGTTTTATCGACAGTGAACTACCCTCATACCCCCAGTTGCACCAATGAAATGCATCCATAATTTTAATTCAGCAGCGTTAGAAACACATCTGATTGGTTGGAGCCTGCAATTTAGAAGTTTACCTTCTAAAAATTATTAAGGATTAGCATACCCATAATTTAAAGAATGGCAGGTCAAAATACGAATGAAGTTGGACAGCCAGGTGTGTATAGTATACATAGAAAGGAGGATCAACTTGCCTGACTGCATCTGGAGGAGCGAATATGACACGAAGAAATTTGTGACTTCTTACCAACTCGTCCTTTGTCATTATTTATACCTCGGTCGATCACTTTGGTTGCGCCAACCAATGAGAGCGGAGATTACGATTATCCAATTAGCTGTAAAGCGAATCAGCTGATTGCAAATAGATTCGCACGTACGCACATAAACGTGCGTTTGCGCGTCCGCACCTTGAAGCACGCATTCGGAAGGGGCGCAGGGACTGCGCCGCCAGGGTTGATTTTCACGATTGGGGGGAAATAGCATGTGTTATCTGTAAAATTAATCAGCTTTAAGGTGACGCAAAGTCGCTTCGTTCTACGGGTGGGAGGAAAGAGCGTACACCAAGATAACATGGAGGGGTGTAAGTCGAAATTTCCAACTTCGCATCACCCCAGAGTCATGGTGCTTAGTGTTGAGCACATAAGTTTGTCTTAGTCACACACAGAAAGGCAATATAGAAGTACTGAACTGTTAACCAACTACTGTATCCCCTGTAGTCCCTCCCAAGAATATCGGCATCATGCCTAAACTCGAGATTTGGAAATGGTTGAACGACCTTGAGTCCAACCAGTATTGATTTAGAAATCAAACCGATGATTGGTTGTGGGAAAAATACCTAATTAAAGAAAAACTGGAAACAAACATGCTATAAACGGTATGGAGGTTTCTTTCTACCGGGACCCGCCGATTGCATGGTCACGGAGTAAATCACAATTGCTAACAACCATGGCAGGTCGCGGAAGTGACACTTTGGCTTGTACATAAAAACAAACTTGGTGGATTTTCCTCCTTCAAGCCTTTTATCAGTTGTCCGGCCACCTTTCTACCAAGTCACAACTTTGTACTTTAAAGTAGATAAATTTTTAATGAATAAGTCAAACTTCAAGGTCCGTTAAGCCACGGAGCTTAATGCCTTGACAGAGTTAATCTCTTCCAGCTAGCTATTCCAAATATTGCCCAACAACTGACCGATTTAAAACAGTGCAATTGACAAAGCATTTTAGGCAAGTAAATAGGCAAGGGAGTGAGTGCTGAAGCTATGCTGAATGGTTCATTTAAGTTGCATGAGTTTGGGGTATCGCGATCTCCCTACTAGGTTTGGGAAAGGCATCCAGAAGGTGGCTAATGACCAACATATTTCCATTGGAAAAAAGAGACGTAAGAGAGAGAAAGCAGTAATTGGTCTCTACTTTTGGCTGACAAGTCGTATCTCCACTTAATTTGTGCTTAAATGTGTCGGCATGGGCAAAAGGTGATTGCTCAATGCATAAGAAGTCGATTTAAAAAAAAGAATACGTGGAGTATCTTGGAAGTGCTATTTTATTTTTTTAAGAAGGCGACCCTTGTATAGGATCGAAGCAGTCTTTCTTATGCACAGTGAAGAAGTTGAAAGTGGTCCCTCGGGCATGGCGGATGTAGACCATTCGGAAAGTTCACTCGACCAGGGCTAAGAGAAATAAGGGAATAAGACCCCCTCGAAAATAGCTTCACATAAAAAAATAGCCAAAAGGTTACTGAAAAGCGAAATTTTGGGATTGAATTGACAATGGTACGGCAGCACGGACATTGAGGCAGTTGTCCCACCACCTAGCCTACTTTAACGAGGAGGAGGTGGATAGCATATGAGGCCGAGGAACAGATACGATGATGGGTACAGTGGAACTTCATCAGCCACAGAGACGATTCTGTTGGCATTTCGGCTGAGTAGAAGAAAATTAAATATACAAACCTAGAAAAAATTTTCTAGCTACAGAAACGAACAGAAATGATTCCAGAAAACTGACGGTACCGCTATGAATGCTTCTAATACCTCCAACACTTCAAATACTTGGGACACAACTTCCACTGCACAAGTCAAGCGTTAAGTTAATTAAGAAAGTCCCCTACCACCACCATCACCACCGTTGATGCAACAGTTCTGAGTGAAGGAGGGGGAGGGAGGGCAGTTAGGACCCTCCACAAACCGTAGAGGCTGGGAGAGAGATCAAGATTGGACGATAAACACTTGTGAATAGATAAACATGTCAAGGTGATCCAGCCCATCCAACATGCGTGATGGAACTGTCGTGAATTGTCTTCACCTAGACAAGTGTATTGGAGATAAACAAGGTGTGGGTGGATTGAAAAACTCCATCAAGTTTTATATTACACAATTTTTGAAGTTCAAACTCGACTTGAAATGAGGAGGGATTTCAAAATGTTAAGCTTGCACACGGCCTCTAGCTAATACCCACAACACGTGGAAGTTCTGGCATTGAGAGCAAGTCATCCTTCAATGTCTTCATGTCGGGACTGTACTATCTTCCTGAATCTATTTACCTAGGTGCAAAAGCATTCCTCTCTTCTGCTGGTTTCTTGCACGACAGGTAAATTATACAATGATTTGCGGTTCAGAGTGAGGCAAGCTTTCCACGCGCTGCCTCAGTGTTCGCTGTGCTCGATGACTGCCATGGCTGATGACCTAAAATAAGAATCGCCTGCATCAAATCTATCACTACCACCACGCCACGTACCGTCAAATCTGTACTGACGCACAGCACAGTCATGCCGTCGGTCACTCATTCACGAAACGGTGACATCATTCAACCATCCAACCACTCCACCAATCATTCAAATGTCTCTGCTGGACAGTGGAATGTGCCATCACCCTACTGTGCTGTGCTTGAAGTGGTTCTAGAGAAGATGTAGGAGCAAAATGCCCTCCATTTGAATTCAAGGTGTGGGGTGGGTCCAGAAGCCGCTCTGTACATCATTTTATACACACACGAGGTATTGGCGCTGCCTGGGCTCTTGGTTGAGAGTGTCTAGACCCAGACTGCCACGATGGGTGAACTGGAAGTCATTAATAGGCCACATTTGCCATTCCTTCCTACGTGTAATGGCGCCACTGAGCACCTCTTTTAAATCCTGCATAAGTAAATACTCCCACCTAGCTTGATCGACTCCTCTCCCCTATAAGGCGTGGGCTAACCTACCACCTAGATGTGTGGATGTATTTCGCAGAATGATTCATTACTTCTCTAACTAAACCCTCGTCTTTCAAATGTGTACCAATCTACTGCTCAAAGGTAATGTACATAATTCACTTTAGCATCACCCACGCAAGGGAGTATCATTGTCAACCTTCACAACGAGTTAGCGCTTCCTTTATTTACACTTGATCATTTTTGCTTTATTTACACTTTCTCAACTAATTCCTCACCAAACTTCTGTTCAACATCACGATGTAAGTCGAAATGGTGTCTTTTTATTCTTTTATACCAACAGGGGTGACATTTTGGTTGGTGCTCCTAATCAACTAATCAACCTTGCGCATGAGCATAACAGCCTTTGCCGAGGGGAGGAGAGGATCGCGATCTCCATTTGTAGGAGGTAGACAAATTTCTAATTGGTTGGACACATACACAAACACACCCTCACACGCACCATCTCCAAGAGAGAATAAACTCTCTTAGAAGACTGAAGAAGTGACGACTTGAGTTGTGCGTCTTGAGTTATGAGCCTTAGAGTAATTCCGATGACCCTTTGACAGCGTTCAAAACGTCTGCTGCAGCTTCGAGACAAACGTGAGACGGATGATGGAGGGGTGTAGTTATTATGGTCACAATAGAGTACGTCGGAAATTGACTTTTCCATCCACTGCAAAAATGAAGGCAAAACTGCCTCTGACATTCAACCTTGACTGTGACTGAAGCACGTCACGTTTTCAGTAGCGATTGCTGACCTTCTGTGAGCTGTCTAAGGGGGACCAATTGTTTAACTCGAATGGATTTATGAAAAAACTATCCTGTTTCCGGTTGTTTCATATTCTCACCTAGGTTGTCAGGCGAACAGTGCTCCAATAAGGTATTTAAGGTCATCAAAAAAGCACACAGCAATGGATGACAGTGAAATAGAGACATATTTGCGTTTGGGGGCGTACAAGCAGACGTAGGTCAGTCCACCGCTCATACGATCACATGTCAAAAAGACGAGAAGGTTGAGAAGTGAAGGTGTAACAGAAAAGGATGTGACTAGGGCCGGACTTTAGGATGCGATCAGATGAGAGGAGATGAGAGGACGTTTCCGAAAGCAGCATTCGTAGCAATTTT